TGGGTAATTGATGGGTGTTGCTATCTAGTGTTAGATTGACTATGGGTGTTTGCTATTTGGGTTAATTTTATGTTTTAATCTAGAATTGGTAGTTGCAAACACAGATTCAAGCTTTGTGGGTTTAACTCTTCTTGAGAAAGAGAGTCTACAACCCCAAAATTGACCCAACAAGGAATTGGGATGGACTCATGAGGAATGATAGTCCCAATTAATGGGTTAGACCTCGAGAGAGTAATTACCCTACTTGAACCCTAGTTGTTTGGTCTAATTTTCCCACCCATTTGGTCTCGAGAGAGTCAATTAGGCAAAGTCACTTTCTCTATCGAGAGGTGTGAGAGTGGGTAAAATTGTGCAACGGTTATACCATAAGCTCCAATTATATCAATCGAACCTTAGTAACATCTACCCGTCAATTAGCCACCTAGGTAGTGTCACGACCCTAGTGCCCTTCTTCCCATTAGATACAACTTAGCAATATTCTCGTAGCATAATTTAGTGTTAATCAATAGTTTTACAAAAATTGTTATAATTTGAAAACCCAAAAATGTTTGAAGTGATATTAGGAGTACAAACACATCTCTAGGATAGACAGACAATCCAAGTCCACTACTAGCTCCCTGAGGAATTCAATCCCGACCTTCATAACGGGTAAAAGCTATTGTGACCCGCTCTTCCTACCTTAGTGTAGCGTCGAGTTGGCAGTGATCAATGACTGGTACACACGGTCCACAACAACAGTATCGCCCATCGGGGTAGACACATGAACAGGTAAAGCAAGAAACTCCCGGGGTGTACCCAAATAATGAGCAAAATATGAGGACATATAAGAATAGGTGGAACCGGGATCAAATAATACAGAGGCATCTCTGTGGCAGACTGAAACAATACCTGTAATGACAGCATTTGAAGCAATAGCATTTGTCCTGCTTGGAATAGCATAGAAACGAGCCTGGTCATCGCCTGATCAACCTCCCCCTCTGGGGCGACCCCTGGCTGCCTGACCTCCACCCCTAGCTGGCTAGGCGGGTGGTGAAGTAACTGGAGCAGAAGTCGAGGGCTGACCGCTCTACTGAAACTGACCATCACAAAGTTGAGGGCACTGCCTCCTCATATGTCCAAACTCTCCGCACTCATAACAACTACCCGGTGCTGGAGATGGGGACTGAAGGGAAACCCTCGCACCGGAGTGACTAGCAGATGCAGTCGGCGCAGAAGAACCCTAAGCTGATGGGGCATGAGATGAACTCTGAGCTGGGAGGTCACTGAATGAAGGCTGGCCCTGCTGGGATCCCTGATAACCTCGACTTGAAGATGCCCCACGATACTCTGGACGGGCCGACTGAGCAGGCCTGAAAGAACGACCTCTACTAGACTGGAACTAGACCCTCGACGGAGCTCCACTATAACTGCCCGATCCTTGAGGCCTCTTGGCCTCCCTCTCCTCTCGCTCCCTACGGCAAACCATCTCAATCTCACGAGCGATATCAACCACCTCCTCGAACGTAGCACCCAATACTCTCTCTCTAGTCATCATAATACGGAGATGATAGTTAAGGCCATCCACAAATCTCCTGATCCTCTCATNCGGAGATGGTAGTTAAGGCCATCCACAAATCTCCTGATCCTCTCATGATCTGTCGGAATCATCCAAATGGCATGACGAGCCAACTCAGAAAACCTCATCTCATACTGGGTCACGATCATACCCCCTGCATCAACCACTCAAACTGCCTACGCAGCTCCTCTCTGTGGGACTGCAGTACATACTTTTCCAAGAAGAGAGCGGAGAACTGCTGCCTAGAAAGGGGTGTTGCACCGACAGGCCTATGCCTCTCAAAATCCTCCCACCAAGTAAAGGCAGCCCCCAAGAAATGAAAGGTGGTAAATGCCACACCACTAGACTCAAGAATCCCTGCTGTACGGAGCATCCGCTGACACTTCTCAAGAAAACCCTGGGCATCCTCGCCCTCAGCACCACTGAATGATGGAGGCTGGAGCCTACCAAACCTCTCGAGACGATGCTGCTCATCATCCGGCATAGCTGGTACCATGAACTCCTGAGCTGGTGCAACTGGCTGAGCTGGAGGTGCCCTGGCATCTGTAATGCCTGCACTACCTGCTCAGGTGTGCGAGCAGTGGGGGTTTGATTGCCTCCCCCGGCCTGTGAAGTAGCTGCGGTAGTGACTGAAACTGCCTGAGCCAGGCTAGTGCAAACTGATAAGATCTATGCCAAGGCCTCCTGAAGACCCGGAATCACGATGGGCACAGCTGGTGCCTGAACTGGTGCTGCGGGAGCCTGATCCGGAGCTGGGCAGCTGGTGGATCAACAGGTGCTGCCCTCGCTGCTCTGCCTTTGCCACGTCCACGACCGTGTCCACGGCCTCTGGTGGCCTCAGTGGGTGGCACTGGTGGTCGTCCATCTCATCTGGTAGCTCGCGTCCTCACTATCTGTAAGAGAATAGAATAACAAAAGTTTACTTCTAGGATCAACAAGGTCGCACGACAAGAGTTTCAAGAATATGAAGTTTTTCCTAAAGGTTCTGCAGCCTCTCGAGGATAAATACAGACGTCTCTGTACCGATCTGCGAGACTCTACTAAACCGGCTCATGACTTGCGAGACCTATGTAACCTAGGCTCTGATACCAACTTGTCACGACCCCAACCCCTGTCGTGATGGCGCCCAACACACTGCTAGGCAAGCCTGACCAATTAACAACCTCAACCCATTTCTTATATAGTTCATTATTATCTAACACAATTAAATTACCAAAAACCCATATTAAAAGTTTGAAACCAGAGTTAAATATGCGGAATTTCAAATGATAATACTACTACTACATAGACCATATAGATCCGGTGTCACAAGTCTGAGCCCTTAATACCGGTTTATCACCGTAATACATATCAATCTAGGGAATGCGGATAAAACAAAAGGATAGAAAGGAGAGATCAGGGTTGCGGATGCCATGCAGCTACCTCGATGCTCCCGGATATGCGCTTCTCAACTAAAAATCCTCACTTAGCCTCAGATGCACCTGGATCTGCACGCAAGGTGCAGGGAGTAATGTGAGTACTCCGAACCAGTGAGTAATAAGCATAAATAATGACTGAGAATAAGAAATCACGAAGAAACACAGAGTAATCTATAATGCAGCATTTTAAATAAGTAATATGAAAGTAATAAACCAATGGAAACGAAATGTGGAAATGCTACCACAAATAAGCAGTTAGGTGACAGACATATAAAGAAAATCAACACATAGAACGGTACCCTATAGTACCTGCTACGGCGTGTAACCCGATCCATACATTTATCGTTGACGGCGCTCACTGGGGATGTGCAGACTCCGGGAGGGGCCCCTTACGGCCCAAGCACAATATCAAGTCATCTCGTGGCATCAAATCTAGGCCCTCAGCCTCGTATCAATATCAGTATAACACTGTTGCAGCGCGCAGCCCGATCCCATAGTATCCTCCCATCTGGCCTTTGGCCGTACTCCGTCCAGAAATCATATAAGCCCCTCGGGCATTAGTAAAACAGTAGTTCTCAGCCCAAAATATCATTTAATATGTATCATTTTAGTTTCAAAACCGAGTAAAAAGTGGTTGAGTTGTAAAACAGTGGAAAACGGTACGAGTAAGTTCAAGTAGTAAGTCAAAACAGTGAGGAAATAGTGATAAAACTCCCCGAAGGGTTCAAATAGTTGGCACGAAGTCCAAGTATGGCAATTAGTCCAAACAATGATGATAACAAATAAGCTTCAATCAAAATGCACGGTAAAAACAACACTCAGGACGGACCAAGTCCCAATCCTCAATAGTACATGACCCCACTCTCATCATCAAGCGCGTGTCTCACCTCAATATAGCACTACGATGTGCAAATCTGGGGTTTCAAACACTCAGGATATCATTTACATTCATGACTCACCTCGAACCGGCTAAAGCTCTAGCTCGCTATGCCTTTGCCTCTCAAATCAGCCTCTCGGACATCGAATCTAACCAAAACCAGAGCGAATACGTCACAATATGCTAAGGGGAAAAAGGCCAAGCGAAAACAATCGAAAAATATCAAAAATCCCGAAATTAGCAAAACCCGAGCCCCGGGTTTACTTCTGGAAACTCAGAAATTTTCACATCAACGGGTTCCTTATCTCGCCACGAGTTCATACATATCAAAATTTCTCAAATCCGACCTCAAATGTCCCTTCAAATCCCAATTTAAAATCTCAAAATCCCAGGCCCTAGTTCTTCTATTTTTAGCTAAATTTCCATGAATTTCTAGGTTAACTTCACAATATAATCACGTTTGTGGTTCATAGAACTTACCTCCAACCAATTCTCCTTGAATCCCTCTTCAATTCCCCTCAAAGAGCTCTCAAAATACTCAACTATGGTGGAAAAAAGACTAAAACTCACGGAGGAAATGTTTAAAAACTTCACTGTTCAGTTTTGGAAATCCCTCCTTCGCGAACGCGGTCAAACCCACGCGTTCGTGATGCACAATTTTCCTTGAACCACAAATAACCCTTCACGAATGCGGCACCACACCCGTGAATGCGATGCTTTGGAACTTTGAACCTACGCGAACGCGATACCACTTACGCGAGCGCGAAGAGCAATAGCTCCTCGACCTTCACGTGCCCATCTCCACTATGAGAACGCGATACCCATCACGCGGACGCAAAGCATAACCTCAAGGCCCCTTCGCGAATGCGAGGCAGCAGACGTTAATGCGAAGCACAAATGCAGGGCCACCCAACTTCCTTCTACGTGATCGCGAGGGACCTCACGCGATCGCGAAGGCCAAAAATCCTCTGCAACTGCTGCTGCATTTTCTGCAATCTCCAATGACTCAAAACTTCCCGTTAGCCATCCGAAACCACCCGAGGCCCCCGGGACCTTAACCAAAAGTACCAACACATCCTAAAACCTCATTCAAACTTGTTCTAATCATCAAAACACCTCAAACAACACCAAATACATCAGTTCACATCGAATTCAAGCCTAGCTTTTCTAGAAACTTCTGAAACACACTTTTGATCAAAACCCAACCAAACCGTGTCCGAATGATCTAACATTTTGCACTCACATCACAAATGACATAACAAAGCTACAGTAACTCTCGAAATTTCATTCCGATCCCCGGATCAAAATCTCACCTATCAACCAGAAATTGCCAAAATACTAACTTCGCCAATTCAAGCCTAATTCTACACTGGGCCTCCAAAACCACTTCCGATCACACTCCTATGTCACAAGTCACCTCCCGAAGCTAACCGAACCATAAGAACTCACATCCGAGCCCTCTAACTCATAAGTCAACATCTAGTTGACTTTTCCAACTTAAGCCTTCTTAAAAGAGACTAAGTGTCTCATTTCTTACTAAAATCACACCAAATGCAAACCAATCAACTCGACCACATAAAACACGAATAACGAAGCATAAAGAAGCAAAAATAGGAAAAACAGGGCGGTAATTCATGCGATGACTAGTCGGGTCGTCACACTGTTATATAAAAATATTAGCATGTAGCAGGTAAATGACTTTAAACTAACATTCAATTTGACTTAATTTTAACCAACTTCAGTCATCTTGTTAATCCTATGTGTGACATATTCTTTTGTCAAACACTAAGATAGATGCATTTCAACAGTGATATGCAAGCCTAAGAAATCACCATGTTCTCTTGAATGGCAGGGCCGTATAGGCAACAAAACAGCACAAAAGAAAACATTTAAACTATGTCTAAACATAAGTAAGTCTACTGATATCATAACAAGTCAATTACATATGACTTAACAAGGAGTAATAGTGATAGAAGACACACATTTCCTGATATCACGTTCACCATACACAGATAGCCAATACATCAAAAAGGAAAGAAAGTTAACTCTAGAACAATTTTCTTCTGATGTAGTCATTGCTTTGCATTCTCTCACATGTACATTTCGAGCTCAAAGAGAATCAGTGAAGCTAACTGCTCTAGTTGTTCTCTGCTTTCCAGTTTTGTTTCATTATTCACCATTGATGTTTTTGCTTCAAATGCAATTAAAAGAATCATGATTCATGACTTAAAAGTTTTTTTTCTTAACTACTTACTAACATCAACAGTATCTCTTAAAAGGACAATGTGGATCTCAACTAAATACAAGCTGCTTGTGGAAGTTAGTGTATTTCATTAAAAACTGTGTGACACTCATATTTTATAAAGCTGTTGGCTTATCCAGACCATACCCAACCTTAGCATTCAATGTTTGGAAATTTTAATCAATTCAAGAACAGACATGAATTCTGTATGGTAAAGAAAAATGAATTTATACACCATTCACCAGTAAATAACAAGGCAACACAGGGTATAACCCGAATGAATTGGAGCACACAGAACGAATAGAATAAGGGAGATGTATCCGGAGCCAAGAAAGAAAACAAAAAAAAACTGCATCACAGACTGGTTTCTCATGAACCAGCTCATAAACACTTCCAATCTAGCAAAGTCTCAGCCATCATCACATTTTGATCAATACCAGAACAAATTAAGAAGGAGTGAAGAGATGAACCTTTTAATTAACAAAAAACTTCAGGGATTACAGCAACTAGATCGACTCGAGCAAAACCGCGGCTTAGAGCTTGAAACGAACAGCAACAAGAAGACAAGAATCAACCAACTTGAATTGAGCCACTAACCGAAATTTTGAACTCCAAAACAAACTCGACTATAACTTGAATTTTCAAAATCAAGTTCTCTTGAGAAAAACAGAACTTCAAAAGAAAGAACAAGCACTAAGACATATCTGTGCTCAGTGATTTTTTTTTTTATTTTTCTCTAAAAAATAAAGTAAACTCGACTAGAAAAATTGAACTCAGACCATTGTGCTCTTTTTGGTATGTTTTATTTTTGAAGAAAAAGTAGACTTGAAGACGATAACAACTAAAACCCTAGAAAATTACTCGGCTAAGTTCTGAAGATTTTTCTCTGATCTCCCTCTAACCTAGCACATAGAACTTACCTCATATATATAGCCTTCAAAAAATCTCAAAAATCTGCCCAAAAATCCAAATATCTTCGAGTTTTTTGAACAATTTTGGGACAAATGGAGGGCGTGGATCGACTTACATCTATCCACAGCTCCCATTCATCCAACAAATCGTTCTTTCGTACCCAAAATTGTGCGATTTTGAGAGAATATTCGAATTCTTTCTAACAAAAACTGTTGGGAATCAAATAACGTGGAGGGAAGGGGACCATTTGAGTGAACTCGGGCGAGTTGAGGTGAGTTGAAATCTGAGGAAGATGAAGGAACAGTAGGGCGTTGTTTCTGATTTTTCTCTAGGTTTAGGGTTTGATGGGAGAAATGTTATAATGTGGTTTATATACCGAGGGAATAAGGAGCGGGTCACAGTCGGGCTTGGTCCGATTTGCTTGGACTGGGGTGGTGGAAAGGGTGGTTATTTGGGATTGAGGGTATTAATTGTGTATATGGGGAATAATTGGACTGAGATGGGGTGCTAAAAAATGGCCCAATTCCGAAAAATGGCACTCCTTTCCAATTCTCCCTTTTAATTCTAATTTTCCTTTCCTTTTCTTTTTTTTAATTAAAAATCCTAAATTATCTAAAAATGTGAAATTAAACTAATTATAAAAATTGTAAACATCCCTTAAATTTAAATTAAAAGAGGAAAATCATTAAACCAAAATTAAAAGACAAAAAATGTAAAAATGAGCTATTTTGTGATTTTCAAATTTTTATAAAGCAAATAATTACTGATTAGTTGTAAAAACAAATCCTAAATGCAATGCATGATATTTTGGTATTTTTTATGATTTAAATAAAAATTAAACATGCACAGAAATGTAAACAATTAATAATATCTACAAAAATTCCTAAAAATGGCAAATAATTAGGAAAAAATCTATTTTCTTGGATTTTATAGGAGTATTTCATATAGGGCAAAAATCACGTGCTCACAGTTGCCCCTCTTTACTCGGAAACACGGCGAGTTTTTGTGTAAAGATAAAGTGAGTGAATACGAGCGATTTTTGCCCGTTTGAATACTCCGTGGGAAGCATTTTTGAAAGATTTGACCGCGCCCTGCTTTCGAGGTTGCATACATATCCTTGGCTATAAAGGAATCAGGTCATTGTAGTTCGGGAAGTTTTGGTAGCTGGGACTACCAGGAAGCTATGATTTCACTGTTGTTGTTGCTGCTTGTTGAACTCCTTATTACACCAAGACGAGATAAAAGAGGCTAGACTAAACTATAATCTATGAATTACAAGAATCCTATCTATATCTTCAAACTTGGTCTTGCAGTTTCTGTTGTTCTGTTGACTTTTACTCTCCAAGTAAAATTCCTTTGCTGCTGACTTGAATTGTATTCTGAGGTGCTTTCCCTTTGTTCTCCAGGTAGGAACCTGATTGTTGAACTTGAACCGTCTTCCTTTGAACATTGCTGCTTTCCCTTTGTTTTCCAGATGGACTCCTGATTACCAACGTTAACACGGTTTTCCTCGAAATTTGAATTGCTTCCCTTAGTTCTCCAGGTGGGCTCCTGATTACCAATACTTGAATCGCCTTCCCTTTGTTCTCCAGGTGGGCTCCTGATTACCGACACTTGAATTATCTTTCCCTTTGTTCTCCAGGTGGGCTCCTGATTACCGACACTTGAATTGCTTTTCCCTTTGTTCTCCAGGTGGGCTCCTGGTTACCGACACTTGAATTGATTTTCCTTTTATTCTCCAGGTGGGCTCCTGATTACCAACACTTGAATTGCTTTTCCCTTTATTCTATAGGTGGGCTTCTGATTACCAACACTTGAATTGCTTTTCCCTTTGTTCTCCGGGTGGGCTCCTGATTACCAACATTTGACTTGTTTTTTCCTTTGTTCTCCAGGTGGGCTCCTTATTACCAACACTTGGATTGCTCTTCCCTTTGTTCTCCAGGTGGGCTCCTGATTACCAATACTTGAATTGTTTCTCCCTTTGTTCTCCAGGTGGGTGCCTAATTGCTTGACCTGAACTGCTTTCTATTCTTGAAACTCGTGTTGTTCTCCCTTTCTCTTCAAGTGGGCACCTGATTACAACAGAACAGACAAAACAAAGAAAATTTTCTGCACCGGTTTGGTAGCTGGGCACATCCGTGAGTGTTAATTGAATTGTGTTATCCAATATCTCTAAGAATTTCAAAGCTAGATCCCATTATCCAGGAGGGTCCTGAAAACTCCTAGTTAAATGACAGTTTTAAATCAAAATTATATCTAAAGGTATGACTTCCGCTAAATCTTGTTATCTATGAAGGTCTCAAAACTAAGTCCCATTATTCAGGAGGGTCCTGAAAATTTCAAATTGAATCCTATCCTAAGAATGAAAACTTCAAAGCCAATTTATATTTCCTCAAGGTAAAACTTATACTAGATCTTGTTGCGCATGAATATTTTGCATTTTAACTTCCCATTGTCTAGGAGGGTCTTGAGAACTTCAAATTAAATCCCATTATCCAGGCAGGTCCTGAGAATTTACAATCGAACCTGTCCGGTGTATTGCTTTCTTTACAGAAAGTTTCTCCGAAACAAACGGAATTTTGTGCCCCTGTTTCAAATCAAAGAAAAATCTTGTCAGTTTAAAAATATGGTGGTTAGTTTGTGGCATTCTTGCTGAAGGTGGAATATCTACTGTCGCGCTTTGCTTTGACTGGTTGCCTTGAACTGGCCAGGAACCGTTTGACTTTCTAACTGACTCTCAACCATAGGACCTTGGATGACCCGAGTGCTCTACACCCAAACCGTTATTTTACATTTATGGCCCTTTTACCTGAACCTCTGTATCTCTCATAAGATTACTAAACCATTCGACCAATGGAACTTTCACCTTATTTCCCACTTTACATCATGCTATCTCTGGTATGCTTTGGCCGCACTTTGCTTTGTGCAATTTGGAAGTTGGTAGTAAGCTTTGAAATCCTTTCTTACTTGCTTAAACAAGGCTGACATTGGAAAAACTTATAGGGAAATAAACCCAAAAGAAATAAAATGCAATGACTTTGAGAGTTAGGAATAAAAGAAAATCTAAAACTGGATGACTGTTTGAGAGGGGACAGGGAGAAGAGACTTATCTGAGTGGAACAGCTTGCACCAATGATCATGACATGCATTTCGGATTAATCAGCCCAGTCTATTCAACCAATCACCTTTCGGTTGTTATACTTTATGCCCCGGGATCTCCATAACCCAACTTTTTGCCAAATCACTGACCTTGTTCGCCCTACGGTGTCCTAAGAGGTTTTCACCAACAAACCTATCTCATTTATTCATCTCTCAACTCATCATTTCCTTACGATGCCCGTGAGGGTTTTTACCAGTAAGACTCTCTCATTTTTAAATTCTCTCATCTTTCCATCGCCTTACGGTACCCGTGAGGGTTTTCACCAATAAGACTCTCTCATTTTTCATTTTCTTGCTTAGAACGGAATGTTGCCCCTGATATGAGTCACCTTTACTTGCTCGACTCGGCATCTCTCGAAAACTGGTCGAAAGATCTTTCTTTGGACCATAATGTAGGCTTTTGGATAGGGTTAGAAAGAAAGTGTATCACAAAGGCTCAAAACAACTTGAATGGGTTTAAAATTACAACTTTTGGAATCAGATTTCTTACAACAACCACAACTTCCTGCCCCAGTTTCTTTGCTTGGGGACTTTTTGGATTTTTATTTTGATGGGACCGAACCGTGAGGCTGCCTACGTATCCTTAAAAGGAATCAGGTCGAACATAGTTCATATCATAGGAATTATTTTGTTGTTGTGATTTTCTCTTTTCTTTTCTTTCTCTCTTTTTCCTTTTCTTTTCTTTTCTTCTTTTTTTTCTTTCTCTCTTTCTTTCCACTATTTTCCATTCTTTTTTCTCTTTTCTCTTTTCTTTTATCTTTTTTTTCTTTATTCACCTTTTGCGCTCGTGTTTCTGAATTTTGCTACTGATTCCAAAAGAGGGGTATGAAAGAAAATAAATAAAGCTCAAAAGGGTAACAAAGGATAAAGTGTTTAGATAGCAGAACAAAATGTCTTTGTCATTCCAATCTTCAAAATATGCCAAGTAGAAACAAATACAATTTAAACCAAATAAATCATACATAATATCTTTTGACTGCATCAGAATTGATACCCATATCTACATATTTGCCTTCTATATCTGTCAAATACAAAGAACTATTAGACAACACTCTCGTTACGATGACCAATTTGGGGCGAACTTGCCTTTCGCTTCAGCCTGATGTGGAAGGATGCGTTTCAATACTTGCTGGCCGACTTCAAATTTCTGCGGACGCACCTTCTTGTTTTATGCTCTTGCTATTCTCTTTTGATACAACTGGCCATGACACACTCCTACCAATCTTTTTTCATCGATCAAACTCAATTGCTCCAGATGGGTTTTGACCCACTCATCATCATCAATTTCGGTTTCATCAACAATCCGAAGGGATGGGATTTCAACCTCTGCTGGTATCACTGCTTCTATGTCGTATACCAATAAATAAGGAGTTTCACCTACTGAAGTGCGAATAGTAGTGCGATAACCCAACAATGCAAAGGGAAACTTTTCATGCCATTGTCTAGAACCTTGCACTATTTTTCGAAGTATCTTCTTTATGTTTTTGTTGACTGCCTCGACTGCTCCATTCGCCTTGGGGCAGTATGGGGTGGAATTTTGATGTGTAATCTTAAACTGTTGACACACTTCTCTCATCAGATGATTGCTAAGATTAGCACTGTTATTTGTGATGATCACTTTTGGAATCCCGAACCTACAAATGATATTTGAATGAACAAAATCGACCATTGCCTTCTTGGTCACAGATTTGAAAGTTTTAGCCTCAACCCACTTAGTGAAATAGTCAATGGCTACCAGAATGAACCTATGTCCATTGGATGTTACTGGTTCAATTGGTCTGATGACATCCATACCCCAAGCAATAAAGAGCCATGGTGCGGACATTGTGTGAAATTTAGATGGCGGAGAGTGAATCAGATCTCCGTGTACTTGGCATTGATGACACTTGCGCACAAAACTGATGCAGTCTCGCTCCATGGTGAGCCAATAATAACCTGCTCGGAGAATTTTCTTTGCCAGAACATACCCACTCATATGCGGTCCGCAGACTCCAAAATGCACTTTGGTCATGATAGTCGTGGCCTATCTAGCATCTATGCATCTTAACAATCCAAAATCTGGAGTCCTTTTGTACAAAACTCCTCCACTGAAGAAAAATCCACTTGCCAAACGACGAATTGTTCTCTTTTGATCACCTGTGGCTTGCACTGGATACACCCCC